GGGCGGGATGGCGGGTAGGGAGGTTACGGGGGGGGGGGGGGGGGGCGACGTGTGAGAATTGAAACGAGAATGAAGAAATGAGAGAAGAGGATTGCACTAGCAAGAATGAGGATACAAATAGCAAACCCTAGAAGGGTTGTACTCGCTCTAGAGCACCCCACTACAGGCTAGAGCATAATATTCTGACACACCCCCATAGCCAAAGTGGGGTGTAATCAGCAGAGCAAGCAAAGCAGTACAAGCTCAGGGTGGATCACAATGTCACCACACATTTTGAGCACAAGTTTGAAGCAATAGTTTAAAGTTCACAATTATGAGCAAAGCTAGAGGCTATCGCAGAGGGCTAGTGCGGAGGAGGAGGGACTATGAGAGGAGAGGAGGTAGTGGGTGGCAACTGAAGCTGCTGGCATACGGCGCAACTGGAGCAACTGACACACGGGCAACTGAGAAAAGTAGAACGAGAATGAATGAACTATGAATGAAGTGAGTACATATAGGAAACCCTAATCGGGTTGTACCCCCTATGGGATACCCCATTATAGCCTACAAAATAGCATAAGCTATAATGTTCTGACACACCCCCATAGGCAAAGTGGGGGAGAACAGGGGGTCACAAGACCAGTTAGGCAAAGCAAAGCAAAGCTCAGGGTGGATCACAAAGTCACCACACATTCTGAGCACAAGTTCAAGGCCACAAGGCCGGTTTACATGCAGGAGTACATATATATATAAGGCTAGACAAGCAAGAGCAGGTATATATATATGTAACAGTACAAGCAAGGTCAAGAGGTGAGTAAGTGAGGCAAAACAGAGACAAGACCTAGCTGAGTGCAGAAGCGCTGATGATCACAAGGCGCAAGTGCCTTGGTGAAAACATTAGCAGTGTTGGCCTCAGAGGCCACGTACGCAAGCCGCAACTGTCCACGCTGCTGTAGCTCACGTGCAAGAAAGTAGCGGAGAGCAATGTGCTTTGTCCTGTGCTCCATTTGCTGCTCTCGACACAAGGCCAGCATGGCCTTGTTGTCTACGTACAGGACTTGAGGAGAACCAGGCGGCTCTCCAAGGCCGGTCACCAGGTAGGTGAGCCAGCGAAGCTCTTGGGCAGCCATAGCCCCGGCGTAGATCTCAGCCTCACAACTGGAGCTGAGAACAGAAGACGAGCGGGTAGCCCGCCACGAGAAAGAGCCGGAACCAAGGCTGAAGGTGTAACCCTATGACGACCGCTGCGTAGCCTGATCGCCAGCCCAAGAAGCGTCTGCGTGCCCAGTGAGGACCACTGGACTCCGCCCTCCAAGCACTAGCCCCATGCCCGACGTACTGCACAAGTAGCGCAACACCCTCTTAGCTGCAGCCATGTGCTCTGGTCGGTGTCTCCCAGGAGCAACATAGCGTGCAAGAATGCTAAGAGGGTATGCAAGGTCAGGTCGTGTGCAGGTCATCAGGTACATGAGGCAGCCAACAAGCTCTGGGTACGGGCCACTCGACTCTACGGACTCATCCAAAGGCAGAGCTGAGAGCGAGTGGCGAGTGGGCAGAGGAGTGGCCTGAGGCGAGGAGTACGTGAAGCCGAAGCGCTGAAGGACCTGCTGCACCATGTGTGACTAAGTCAGGGTAATGGTGCGGCGTGCTCTGTCCCGGGTGATCTGCAAGCCAAGGTAGCTGCGCAGTTCACCCAGGTCACTACACGTGTGTCTCTTCTGCAGCTCGGACTTCACGTAGGCGAGTCCAGCAGTGTCAGCTGTGGCAAAGACCAAGTCGTGGACGTACACGAGGATGTAGAACGGCGGCAGAGAGGTGTCGGTGCGCAGAAACAGCGACGGTTCGGCAGTAGAAGGAGCAAACCCAAGAGCCGCAAGCGTAGTCCTCAGTGTGTCGTGCCACTCACGTGGCGCCTGGCAAAGACCGTAGACTGGACGCCGGAGACTCCACTGGGTACCAGGAGGGAAAGACCCACTGAAGCCAGGTGGGTGGCGCAGCCAGATCTCCTCGTGGAGGCTGCCCTGGAAGAAAGCTGTGTTGAAGTCGAGAGAGTGCAGCTCGTAGTCACGGTGAGCAGCAACGTGCAACAGTACCCGAAGAGTGGTCATCTTCGGGGTGGGGGAGAAGGTCTGAAAGTAGTCAACTCCCTGCCGCTGACTGAAGCCACGAGCCACGTAACGCGCCTTGAAGACAGGCGGATAACCCGGCGGCCGCTTCACCCTGAAGATCCACATGCCACTGACGATGTTCGCCCCAGGAGGGGGGACAGCGTCAACGTAGGTGCCTGTGGACTTCCAGAAAGCCATCTCTGCATCTATAGCTGCCTTCCACTAAGAGGAGTAGGGACCCTCTATCGCCTCCGCGTAAGAGCGCGGAGTCGGGATGTCAAGTGCATCCGGGTCTCCCTCAGGGGTAAGCAGTACAGACACGAGATGAGGTGAAGCAGCTGTTAGACACTGGAACTCCTCCTACCTGTCCACAAGGACGTCCGTGCCAAGGGAACACTCACCCCCGACGGACGGAGGACAGACAGGCTCAGAGTGAGCGACAAGACTAGCAGCGTAGTCTAGGCGATAGCAAGCAGCAAAGTCGACAAGCTCCGCTACAAGGGCAGACGAAGCAGTAGACTCGAAGGAAGGGTTTGTGAATACAGTAGCAAGGAGACGCGTGACAGTAGGACTGGCAGCACGGCGAGAGTCCGACTCCGGGTCGGCAAGAGTAGGAAGAGAGGACTCAGGAGTAGAAGGCAAAGGGGCACGCAAAGGAGCAGTGGACGGACGTAGAGACATCCGGTGCGTGCAAGGGACAGGAGGAGGACGCTGACGCGAACCACCACCACTAGTGCGAGCAGCACGGACAGGCGACGCAGGGCAAGACGCAGGCTCACGACGCTCAGCAAGACCTCCAGTAGGACCAGTGTAGGGAGAAGGAGCAGGCAGTGAGGAGGCCGGCTGTAACTGTAACTGCGACGGGACAGGTTGTGGACACTCTAAGGGAGGAGGACTAGTAGAAGGCAAAGACCAAGAACCTGCTGCAGGAGTTGAACAAAGTACGGTCGAGGCCGCGCGGAAACGCGAGACACAGCAGGGACAGCACCAGTACCCCCAGCAGGAGCACCCGCTCCAGCAGCACCTCCAGCAGCTCCAAAACCTCCAGCAGCACCAGGACTACCCCCTGCAGGACCGCCAACAGTAGTCTCAACGCCAACACGCTCAACAGCACCAGCTTTAGTCGAACCCGCAGGCCCAGCAGCTCCAGTACTAACAGTATGAGCACCTCCGGGACCCGCGACAGCAGCACCCTCAGTAGCGGAAGAACCTCCAGCACCAGCAGCACGGCTCCAGCGCAGGGCAAACCACTCGCGCAGCTCCTGTGGAGAGAGTGGCTCCCGCAGAGACGAAGTACTCGGAGAACCTCCAAGCGAAGCACCCCCAGGCTCAGCACCCCCAGGCAAAGTACCCCCAGGCGTAGCACCCCCAGGCTCAGCACCCCCAGGCCCAGCACCCCAAGGCTCAGCACCCCCATGCTCAGCACCCCCAGGCTCAGCACCCCCAGGCTCAGCAACCCAAGGCCCAGCACCCCCAGGCTCAGCACCACGAGTCTCAGCACCCCCAGGCTCAGCACCCTCAGCAGCACCAGAGTCACCAGTGACCTCGACACGCTCGACTGCGTCTACCTGAGACACACCTGAAGGGGCATGACCCTGAGGGGGGAGGGGGTCTACCGGGGGGGGACCAGGTACAAGGAAGAGCGGGGGCGGGGGGAGGGACGGAGTGCGGTAGGGGAAGAGGCGTTAGTAGGGGACCGACTCGTCAAATGTGACGTCCTGGGAGGACAGAACACGGCGAGAGGTGGGGTGGTAGAACTGCCACCCAGGCGCGTCAGGGGGGAACCCCAGGAAGACGCAAGGAGCAGCACGAGGGGACAGCTTGTCCGCAGACAAGTCGCGGACAAACGCCCGAGATCCCCAGACCCGGAACGCCGATGCATCGCCAACTTTCCCCGTCCACAGCAAGGCAGGGGAGGTCTCAGTTCTGGAGACCCTGGGGTGAAGGTTGATCTGATGCGCGGCGTACCTGACCGCAAACGGCCACAGAAAATGGGGGGCAGCCGCATGCATCATAGACGTACGAGCGACGTCCATGACCATGCCAATGCGGCGCTCAGAAATCCCATTTTGCTGCGGAGAGTCCGGAAGCGTGAAGGTCTGACGGATGCCTCGTGCACGATAGTAGGCTTGCAGAAGGCCAGAGGAGAACTCTGAATATAAGACCCCCCGTGCCCCAAATTGAACTATACACCATAAATGACAGATTGATGTATGACAAATAAGTGTACCCCGGGTCTTAAAAATTTGCAACCGCCATAATGTCCACCCAAGCATATTTTTAAGCATTTGTAGGGAGTCTCCCGGGTCTTCTAGCCAGAACTATACGGTACTATGCAATAATTTGTGTTGGGTATTTCATGCCCATAGTGGTAGCTCCTACACTCTGGCTCTTAATCGCTTCTGTGCTTACACTGTGCCCGTCTCTTAGGGTTGACCACGTGGTCGCAGCATTTCGACGCACGTCATTTGTCGCGTCATTGGCACACGTCGATGTTCTGCCAGGCTGGGATGCATGTAGCTAACAGATCAAGAACCCGGATCTAACTCGAGCAATCGCTACGCACCACATGTACGTGTGCGAGCTCTCAGGACCCACACTTTTTCAGTGGTGAGTCTGACTGACCCAGGAAGGGGGCAGACGAGATGACACTTGTATTTCCGCAGTGAATGCCATTTTCGCACCTAGTTTACAAATTTGTTACCACTCCGGCTCTGCAGCGAATTGGCGATATCGCATAACAAATTTCTCGTCGCCGCGCCATTACCCCAGCACCAAGCAGAGTCGTGTCGTGTGAGCGTGCTCCGTTCAGTTCAGAGTATGGTTCCTGGTCCTGGCAGCGCGTCTCTCGTGGGTCCTCTCTCTCCGTCGCCACTGTCGTCGCTAGCGTCGCTCTCGTCGCAATCTCTTTCCATGCGACACTACCGCTGGGCTCTACTCGCCATACCCCTCGCTCCCACTCTGATCCTCTCGGCTCCGCGCGCCCACGCTGTTATGGCTTCCGCCTCCGGTCCGTCAACGTCAACGTCACCGGTTGCTGATCCGTCAAAGTTCGGCTACCGGTCGACGGCGGAAGATGTGACGGCGGGCGTCGATTTGAGCGGCAAAGTGGCAATTGTAACGGGTAAGAGCATCGATGATTCGGTTTCGCCGTATGCAGTAAACGGGAGGAAACGGGAGACAAATTGGAGAGGAACGGGGAGAAACGGGGAAAAGAGGGGGGAATTACGGGGGTGAGGGGAGAGAATGTGGATCAGAAATATCCTGCGTGTTTGTGTGGTACGGGAAAGGATAAAAGGGCACGGTAGAAGGGAGGACATGTGAGGGGACGGGGGGGGAGGAGGGGGAGGTGGTGAGGGGACGAGGGGGGAGGAGGGGGAGGTGGTGAGGGGACGGGGGGGGAGAAGGGGGAGGTGGTGAGGGGTAGGGATGCTTTGATACCGCAGATGTGAGGCACGGGAGCAGCAAGTGCAGCGGCAGTATGAGCTATTCTCTCCCACTCTCCCACCTTCCACCCAACGAGTCTTTACCGCCCTTGCATTTCTTTCTCGTCTTCGCCTTTCACAATCATACTGATCTTTCTCATCCGCTCGTCCGCTCGTCCGCCCGTCCTCTCGTCCTTGCCCGTACTTCCACTCCCCTCTCTTTTCCACCCTAGTCTCTTCCCCGCGCCATTGTGAAAAAGCGTGTAAGACGCCTCAAAAGCTGTTTGTGCCATGTCTGAAAAAAAATTCAGTCCTCCACTCCAGCCTTCCTCCTCCCCCGCGCCCAAATTCATTTAGCACGCGCGAATTCCCCTTCCCGCGCGAACCTCGTCCTCGTGCCAATGTTCTCCCCACGCGCGCATGTCGCCCCTCTCTCTTTCCGCCGCGCTAATTTCTTCTTCCTCCCCCTCTTCCGACACCCTTGTGGCGCGAATTTCCTCCCCCCAGGTGGCAGCAGCGGCATCGGCACGGAGACGGCGCGGGTGCTGGCGCTGCGAGGCGCGTTCGTGGTGCCCGTGGTGCGGAACACGGAGGCGGGGGAGGCCGCCAAAGCCGCCATCATCAAGGACATCGAGGGGCAGAGCGCAGCGGTGGCGGGGGTTCCGGCGGCGGTGCGCGAGCGCGTGAGCGTGATGCCGCTGGATTTGGCGTCGCTCAAGTCGGTGCGCGCGTTCGCCGCGGATTACTTGGGCCTTAACCGCCCGCTGCACCTGCTCATGTACGCGCGGAGATGGAAGGGGTGCGGGGGGGAGGAAAGGGGGCGAGGGAGGGGGAGGGGGTGAGTGGGTGAAGAAGGGGGAGGGCAGGGGTGTAACGGGGTGGAGGGGCGGGAGGAGGGGAATGGGAGGAATAGGGGGAATGGGGTAAATGGAGGGGCATTGGGCTTCTATGATAACAGGTTTAGTTGAGCTTAAATGATCTGCTGTTAGTGCTGCCCCACTGCCATGCTGCCCCACTGCCATGCCGCCCCACTGCCATGCTGCTCCACTGCCATGCTGCTCCACTGCCATGCTGCTCCACTGCCATGCTGCCCCACTGCCATGCTGCTCCACTGCCATGCTGCTCCACTGTCATGCTGCTCCACTGCCATGCTGCTCCACTGCCATGCTGCTCCACTGCCATGCTGCTCCACTGCCATGCTGCCCCACTGCCATGCTGCTCCACTGCCATGCTGCTCCACTGCCATGCTGCTCCACTGCCATGCTGCCCCACTGCCATGCTGCCCCACTGCCATGCTGCCCCACTGTCATGCTGCTCCACTGCCATGCTACTCCACTGCCATGCTGCCCCACTGCCATGCTGCCCCGTGCCCCATCACAACACACTTCCCTCCTTCCCTCGCTCCCTCCCTCCCTGCTTCCCTGCCTACCTACCCATTATGCTAGTCATTCTACTGTTTCGCCTTATTTATTCCTCTCGTTCAGACCTTCCCCCTCTCCCCGAACCCACCCCACCGTCCCCTTCCCTTCGTCACTTCCTATGCAACAACCCCCCACTCGCCTGCCCAACCAATCCCACCACGGCCCACCCAATCTCAACCAACCCCTCCCCATCCCACCCCACCCCGGGCAGCAACAATGCGGGCGTGATGATATGCCCGTTCATGCTCACTGCGGACGGCCATGAGAACCAGTTCGGCACCAATCACGTGGGTGAGTGCAGGGAGGCAACCACGTGGGTGAGTGTAGGGGAGTAGCGACCATGAGGGTGAGTGCAGGGGAGCAGCAATGACGTGGGTGAGGCAAGCAAGCAGATTACATGCGCACAGCATGGGTGGCGGGGTGGAGTGTGAGGGAAGAATGGGAGTGGTGGGAGTGAAGCAGAGTCTACCAGTTGGCTGTTCTCTTTCTAGGCTCGAGTGCATTTGTTGCATTCCTAAGCTCATGGAGCTCTCAGGCTGATCGCACCACTCCTCCACTGCCTCCCTCTCCCCCTTTCTTCCGTCCCTCCGCCCCCCCTCCCCCTCTCTTCCCTTTCACCCTCTTCCCCCCTTCCCCTGCACACACCCCCCACCCAATTGCATCGCACGTCGTACCCCCTTTAGGCCACTTCCTGTTGACCAACCTGCTGCTGCCGAAGCTCAAGGAAACTGCCAAGCAGGAGGGCGCAGAGGCGCGCATCGTGATCGTGTCCTCCGCCGCGCACCAGTTCCCGTACCCGGGCGGCATCCGCTTTGACGCCATCAACGCCAAGGAGGGGTACGACTCGGTGAGGGCGTACGGGCAGTCCAAGCTCGCTAATATCCTGCACGCACGGGAGCTCGCACGGCGGCTCAAGGTGCATGGCTGTGGGAGAGGAGGGTGTGTATGAAGGAGTGGGTATGTGGGTGTTGTGTGAGTGAGTGGGTGTGTGTGTGAGTGTAGTTGGGTGGGTGGGTGGGTATGTATGTGTGCGGATGTGTGCGTGAGAGTGTGCATTAGTGGGAGGGAAGGGAAGAAGCAGGCAGGGGAAACGCGCCCAAAAAGCACATTTCATGCTACGTCTCAAATTCCTCACCAAAAATCTCTTCCTCTTCTTCCCGACTCTCCCTTATGATTTTTTTTTGTTTGTTTTGAAAACCTCAGTGCAGGTATGACTGTAAATGCTCTGTACCCATGGGTGATCGATCCTTCAACAATGGAAAAACCCCCTGCTTCCCTCGCCAACACCCTCCATCACCCTCCCTCCTCCCCTCTCTCCCCTTCCCTTCTCTCCCTTGATTCATGCGAGCAGGAGGAGGGTGCAGGAGTGACAGTGAACGCGCTGCACCCGGGGGTGATTGACACCAACCTCTCACGTCACATTGTGCCACCAGGGACCATCTGGCACACCCTCGGACGTACGTGGGGCGGTGGGCGGGTGTGCTGTGCGGGTGGGTGGGTAGGCGAGTGGGTGGGAAGGGCAAAGTGCGTTAGGGCATGCCACATGGGGTCTGCAGAACCGTTGGTTTGCTGAGGTCCAAGCAGTGTAGTCTGTGGACCAGGGTGAACCAGCTGTGAGCCAGATCTTGGACAATGCAAGTGCACTAGATAGTTACCATGTAACACAACTGGTCTGAGGCCTGGTTCGATTGGGTCGGAGCCATTTATACAGGGCCGCCATGGAAAATGGCAGGGGTTGATACTGGTCTGTTAGACCAGTCCGCGAAAGCAAGTGCGACGTGTGTCGAACTTGTTCCGCGGAGCCAATATCGCTTTGAGGTACAAGGCAAAGCCTTTCGTGCTACAGAGTGCCGTAAGCGACTGTCCGGTGTGTCTTCTACAAGGCACACCCTGGGACATAGTTGATGGGGTGGCCAGGTATTTAGGTGGTGTAGAAAGAGGGGGAAGGAGGGGCGTCTGAGGGGCTGATGGTTTGATGGAAGCTGTTTGGCACAAGCATGCTTTGTTCTTTTGCAGTAACTCTTGCTCGCTGCTTGGAGCTTGCTTCTGCGACGGCTTGGCTGAGCACCCATTGTTGTCATACTACCACTCGTCCTGTGCTTGTGCCTGTCCACTGCTGCCCTGCCATGTTGTGCAACCAACCACCAGGGGGAGCGTACAGCCTGGTGTTCCAGTGGTTCATGAAGACCATTCCTCAGGTACCCTCCACCTCCACCTACTTTATACCTCGCCTCACTGCACTTTGCCGTACATTACCTTAGGGGAGTGGTTAAAGTAGCTCTTCACCGCACTGCACACACTCTATATTACTCTGCACCCTACTGATATGCCTCCAACCAACCCTGCTGCAAGAGCGATTTGACGTGATTGAAGAAGAGCTGCCTCAGCTTTCACCAACCCCTCACCCCTCCTCACCCTTCCTCACCCCTCCTCACCCCTACTCACCTCACCTCACCTCACCTCCCCTCACCTCACCTCACCCGACCTCACCTGACCTCACCACCGCCCTCTGTTACTGCTGCATGGTTGGGTGCCCGCACGCACCCATGCATGGTTGGGGGTGTGCGTACTTTCCCATGCATGGTTGTTCCAACTTATCCCCATGCTCATGTGCACACTCCCTGCAACAAAGCCCAGTGGGGCTACTTCTCATGCTCCCTCATCTTTCAACCTTTCCCCCCTGCCCATTCTTACTCTCACACACTCTCTCTCTCAAGCCACTCTCGCATCGTGCCGCCTCGAGGCACACACCCTGTGCCTCGCTCCCCCACCCCCCCCCCCCCCCCCCCCCCCTTACACACTCCTTGCACCTCCACCTGACCGCCCCGTATCCTCCTCTCCCCACTCTCCTCTCCTCCCTTCTCTCAGGGTGCGGCCACCTCATGCTTCCTGGCGGCGCACCCCTCAGTGGCGGGTGCAAGTGGGGGCTACTACGCAGACGCCACCGACCCCTCCACCCCCACCTTCACTCCCACCGCCACCCCCACTCCCCCCACCGCCGCCACCTCCTCCTCTTCCGCCCCCGCTCGCTCCTCCAGCGCCCTTGCCCCCCTTGCCCTTGCCAGGGCGGCGTCTCCCGCTAGGGGTAGACGCCGCACCGACCGACTCAAGACCAAGGAGGTCGGCCGCAGCAGCAGAGGCAACAGAGGGCAGAAGGGGGGAGGGGGAACACCCCTCAAAGATGGGGGTGCGCGGGTCACCTCGAGAGGCTCCTACAGCGACTATGCTCTTCTCTATCGCTAGGAGGGCGCCTTCTCGAGGAGGTCGACAGTGAAAGTGGTGGGACAGACCGAGAGGAAAAGATCCTTGACTACACGAAGGGAGTCAGGTAGGCGAGTGACCATGTAGTAGAGAGTGATGTACGTGGGGGGGTGGTTCTTCGCGCAGAAGTTAGCAGGAAGTGCAGCGCGGTAGCGAGTATCACTAGTGCGGAGGTGTGTAATAAGGTCAGCTACTGTGGGAAAGGCAGCAAGGTCAGGAAAGAGGTACGGTAGCATGAGACGGCTCAGTGCAGCGAGGAGTAGCGCGCGACTACAGCGTCGTACAAGGTCTGAGCACTCTTGTACTGACTAAAGTGCGCACGCTCAGAGGTAGGGAGGTGGCGACGCACAGCAAGACGTGCAGCAGCGTCGCGGGTGGCCCACTGGGAGCAAACAGTGGCGTCAGCATCAGCAGCAGGGGCAGGGGAAGCGCCAGAGGTGAGGTCAAAGAGAGAGAGGCCGTCTGCCCTATCGCACTGTAAGAACAGCTGCATGTCATCTACCCAGACCTCAAAGTCAATGGCCCGACTCTCAACGTCAAAGGCGAGGACACTAGGGGTAGCCATGACAGCAGTAGACTAGCAGTACTGAATGTAGGACACGGGTAGTGCAGTGACAGAGGTGTTGCTCTCACCAGACAGGGCGGTTTGGGCAGCTCAGCAGCACAACAACATGGCAACACTGCTGCTCGGACGGCCCAGCAGCAACAGCAGCTCCGCTGTACCAGCGGCTCAGGCGGCTCGAGCAGCTCAGGCGGCTCGGGCGGCACGGGTGGCTCAGGCGGCTCGGGCGGCTCGGGTCTCAGCAGCACAGGCGGCACGGGCGGCTCGGGTCCTCAGCGGCACAGGCGGCTCAGGCGGCTCGGGTCCTCAGCGGCACAGGGGACTCGGGCGGCTCGGCTCCTCAGCGGCTCAGGTAGCTCGGGCGGCTCGGGCGGCTCAAGTGGTTCGAGCGGAGCAGGCGGTGCAGGGCGGCGGAGCCGCAGTGGAGAATGGCGGCGGGGCCGCAACGAGGGGCGGCAGGGCCGCGACGTAGGGCGGCAGGGGCCGCGATGAAGAGCGGCAGGGCCGCGAAGGAGAGGTGGCGGGGCCGCGAAGAAGAGGCGGCGGGGCCGCGAAGAAGAGGCGGCGGGGCCGCGAAGAAGAGGCGGCGAGGCCGCGACAAAGGGCGGCAAGGCCGCTAAGAAGGGCGGCAGGGCCGCGTCGAGAGAGGCGGCGGGGCCGCGAAGGAGGGTGGCGGGGCCGCGACGAAGGGCGGCAGGGCCGCGACTGCAGAGGCGGCGGGGCCGCGACGTGAGAGGCGGCGGGGCCGCGACCAGGGGTGGCGGGGCTGCGACGAAGGGCGGCAGAGCCGCGACGAGAGAGGCGGCGGGGCCGCAACGAGGGGTGGCGGGGCCGCGACGAAGGGCGGCAGGTCCGCGACGAAGGGCGGCGGGGCCGCGTCAAGAGAGGCGGCGGGGCCGCGACGAGGGAGGCGGCGGGGCCGCGTGAGTGTGAGGCGGCGGGGCCTTTTCGACGGGCGGCGGGGCCTCTAGGGCGGCTCGACAAAGCAAGAGAGAGGGCTCGGAGCGCGACTCAGGCCGAGCGCGCTTCGGGCAGGAAAAAAATTATCGATGTGGTGGGCCCTAGGCACAGTTCCCACGGAGGAACCTGCTCGATACCATGAGAAAAGTAGAACGAGAATGAATGAACTATGAATGAAGTGAGTACATATAGCAAACCCTAATTAGGTTGTACCCCCTTTGGGATACCCCACTATAGCCTACAAAACAGCATAAGCTATAATATTCTGACAGGAACTAGAGCAACTGGCACACTGGCAACAAGCGCAAGTGGCACACGGGCTAATGGAGTAACTGGCTCTGCGACTAAAAGTAGCGGCAGACGAGCAACGGACTTACGGGCGACTGGAGCAACGGGCTCACGGGCGACTGGCGCAACGGGCTCACGGGCGACTGGCGCAACGGTCTCACGGGCGACTGGAGCTACTGGCTTCTCGGCGGCCACCCTTTTCAACCTCCCCAAACTATCCCACCCCCATTTCACACACCCCCTACTGCACCCCTAGGTTCACTCACACCCCACCCCTTGGCACCACTCCGTCAACTCCCACACACCCACCCCCCTCAGCGGCAGCTGCAGCAGTGGGAGACAGAGGAGGAGGAGGAGCAGGGGAGACCACACACCCGCCACCCCCCCACTCGCCACCCCCAAACCCGAACACAGGGCAGGGCGGGATGGCGGGTAGGGAGGTTACGGGGGGGGGGGGGGGGGGGAGGGGCGATGCGCGGCCTCCCTGGGCGCGGGAAAAGGGGGGGGGGGGGCGGTGCACGTGCCCCCGGTGCGCCGCGGCTGGCGACGGGGTATGGCCGGGGCGGGGCCGGGGCCGCAAGTGGCGGCGACGGGGCCGCTAGGGTGGGCGACGAGGCCACTGGCGGCGGCGACGGGGCCGCTGGCGGCTGCAACGGGGCCAATAGGAGCGGCGACGGGGCCGCTAGGGTCGACGACGGGGCCGCTGGCGGCGTCGACGGGGCCGATAGGGGCGGCGACGGGGCCACGAAGGGGCCGCGAGGGGCCTGGAAGGGCGGCGACGGGCCGCGAAAGGGGCGGCGACGGGGCCGCGAAGGGGCCGTGAGGGGCCAAGAAGGGCGGCGACGGGGCCGCGAAGGGGCCGCAAGGGGCCTGGAAGG